CAATCAAAATGTTGCGGAACAAAAGCGACACTTTTGAAAGAAAAGTGGAGGAAGGATAAAAAAAAGTTACAATCAGAATAAAATCAATTAGTTTTTCCAAGGAAAGATAAAACGACCTATTTATTGCCTGTCACGCCCAATGTTCAAGAGAAAGATGAGATGCAAGGGGTGTTTTAATAATAGCCTAAATATAAATTTACTTTTACATTAATATTCTTTTAATACCCCTAAATATTTGAAATTAAGAATTATCCATCATTATAATACAAGGATAAATTTAAGAAGTAAAGACGCAATTTTTCATGTCGTATTAGAGATTTACGGAAAGTCTCGTTACCGACTGTTGACACCGACTTTTACAGATAAAATGAAAGGGGTCGTCTCAAATGAGATTCATAAGTTATTTTCGTGCAAATAAAATGGACGAAGCATATTATCTCTCTACAGACAATAAGCAACAAAATTTGACAAAAATTACTTAAAAATCTGTGCACACCAATAAGAGTCTGTGGGGGCCATTCAGACAATCTTCATGGGCCATCGAACACAATTTGGAAGAACGGCAACCCAAGTGAAATTTCTATCAAGTTTGGTTCGAATGGACCAATTAGTGTTTGACAAAAATATGTCAACCAATCACAGACCATGACGACCACGTTTTAAAATTTGTCGGAATAATCAGTGGCAGTTTTGGTGGAGGATAATCCCAGGATAATTTCTACCATCTTATTTCGAACCTACATTTAGTAGTTTTTGACGAGGAAATCGACCGCTCAAAGGCTGCGGTTGTTATTTTGAAAATTTGATAGGACTGTCAGACATAGTTTTTATAGTGGACAAAGAGCATTTCTACATACCAAGTTGGGTTCAAATACTTTTCAACTCAGAGAATTTACGTGTTATCTTATATTTGATATTCAATGCATTCTTCAATCTCAATCTGTCCACCAAAAAAATTTACAAATTTAGAGGAATTCCACTATTTTTTTTATATAAATTGAGAAAATGACGGTAGCAAAAAATATTTAATAAACACAGACATTTTTTTTTTATATTGCAACCGGCGAAACCCCTGAAACATGCCAGATATTCTGCAGATGGTCAAGGACTCATTTTCACAAGAAACTAGGAGACCCTACAAATTATCTCAGAAAAATCAGGTTATTTTGTATATAATGTGGCTTCAGTTGTATTCATTATACCATGTTCTCTCGTTGATTTTTCGACGTCAGTGTTGCCACAATTTAAGCAGAAATTAATACATGTATTCCAATATTTCAAAGAGCTTTGGAGTCGTTTGTGCAGTGGCCTGCTCGGAACAAATTGAGAGGAAAACACGATATTTGGACTTATATACCTGCTGCTGTCAGTGGAATAGAATATCATAGGCCACAAGTTGAGCCACGAGAACTGTATTTGTCCAATCATCGTCACTACCACGCCATGCATACGTCTTTTGAGTTAACCGAATTGCAACTGATATTTTCAGTTTATTCTTATGTTGTGCTGTTACACCACAGTCCAAGGTTAGGGGAGGGTTGGGCGCTCACAAACATGTTCACTTTATGTGGCCTGTCCAAAGTGAAGAGCTTGTAGTACAGTGGTTGTCTTTGGATCGTGTCTGTCATATTTATTTTTCGTAAATTGTTTTGTTATAAATTAGGTTGTTAGTTTTCTCGTTTGAACTGTTTCACTTTTTTTCCGATCCCCTTCATTTTACCTGTCAAAGTTGGTGTAAACAGTCAGTACCTAGACTTTCCGTCAATCTCTATTATTACCTATGTCAAAAGGAGATGATATAAAGCAGATATCTTTTAAGTTAAACAGATTATCAGTTTAAGTTCGCACCAGGTATTTTGACTTTTGACTTTTCTATACTTGAAGATTTTTACAAACACTTTTAAATATAAGTTAACGTTTGCATTTGTTTTTTTTTTTCTTTTATTACAATTAATCTTAGAACTCTTCAAAGCAGTTGTTTATCAAAAAATATAAGATTAGTATGTTTCATAATTTGATATGCCTGTAAACAAGGATTTTAAATGAAATTCTACTATTCATTATTCACTGGTGTTAAACTCATCGTGGTAACTTGAGTTACCACGATCCCAATAAATAGGTAACATCGTTTTCTGCTAATTTCTCCGTGTAAACGTGTTGTTTTCAAGAATTACTCAGCCGCCAGGTTGATCTGTTTGGTTTTGTTGTGTGTGTGTGTGTGTGTTCTTAATATCATATATGGCCTCATTACAAAAAAAAAAGCCATCGAAAATTCAAGGAAGATAATAGTAACTCCAAGAAATTTGTTTGATATGATAATCGTAACTGGAGTATCAGATAGTCGTAATTTGGACATGATAATAGTTACTTATCAGTGATAATCGTAAATTTATCTGTTGATAGAGACGGCGACTATATATAAATCTTGCTTAAAAGTTTGATAGTGTGACAAGAATTAGTGAATAATTGGTTATCTTAAACTAATTTACTTCACGGTGGTTTGTAGATACATTCTATTTATTTCACAAGTTAAAATTTACGGTAAATATTGATTGGTACATTTGTATATTGTATACTTAAAAAAGAAGAAGATATATTCCTTGATTTTAATGACTTTTCAAGTTTTATAACAGAAAATTTCAATCAATCAATAACTGTTTTTGCGTGCCAGTACCAAAGTACTGGCAACTGGGCTGGTGATACTCTCTGGGACTTACAGTTCACTAACAGAGATGTCGACCCGGTAGTAGTTATAAGATTAACGGTACCAATGTTCCTGTACTGCAACAGATGTGTATTTCGACAACTCATATTGTGTCTCTTCAGTGATGCCCGAGGCCAAACCCTAACACAAACGTTGCAGAGCTGATAAAACCATAAAAAACATTAAGTATACCCGAACCAGAACAAGGAATCGGAGCTTTGCATGACGGAGTTAATTTCTTTATTCAAATAATTTTTCAAATTTTATATTAGCAATGAAAAAAATATCCGTTACTGTGCCAGTGATATCAGTGTTCACCTCAGAAATGTCTTATATCATCCTGGTAAAATTTCAAATAGCATTACATTCTAGCAATATAGCATCACATTACCATGATGCTAACAGGCCCTGGGGAGAACACTGTGGTGTACCTGGTGACTGATAGTCCACGAACAAAGGTATCGGCCCAGCGGCCCAGTGGTAGTTATAATATTAACGGTACCAATTGTTCTGCTCCAGATGCGCTTTTGACTATTAATGCTGATCATGAAAAAATGGATGCCTTTTATGACAGCAGATATAAGATTGATTGATTGATTATTGGTTGCTTATAAACCAATGGAAAATATTTCATACGTGTTCAGGACGAGAAAAAATTAGCAATAAATATGTCCTGTAATAGGGGCCGTCCGGGATGAAGGTCGGGAAGTTTGGACTGCCACTGTAAAATGAGGATAAGTTGGGAAGAGACTATTTTTCCTTGCAAAAGGTCACCTTTGGACCCCTTAAAGAGTTGTTGTAAGGGTTCTTCACGTGCAGAGAACGTGACATACTCTCTACATCAGGCATCGGATTTAACGTCCCTATTCTGACCGGACGTGGCTGCATATTTATACATCCCGCAAAGCCAAAACGGACGCCCAAGTTTGGCAAGGAGGGTTTTACTGCAGGTCGGAAGAAGAAAAAGGGTGCCCATATTTCTATTTCTTAGTCACCCTTGTGATGTTTGGGAAGGGGGGAAGGGGGGGGGGGGGGGGGGGGTGGGGGTAGATATTAAAAGGTTAATCAAAAGGTAGAATGGAGCATATAAAAAAGAATACAAAATCTGAGAATAAAAAAGAAGGAGGAGAGCGCTCACAAGCATGCTTAACCCTGCTACATTCTGTATGCGCTAGTCCCAAGTCAGGAGCCTGTAATTTAGTGGTTGTCGTTAGCTTTCTCTATGAGATTTGCACATTGTTGAAGGCCGTACAATGACCCGTAGTTGCTTACATCTACATATTTTGGTCTCTGGTGGATAGTTATCTCATTGGCAAGAAATACCACATCAACTTATTCTTATTTTGAAAGTTAAACATCTATAAGTTTCTGGTTCATTTTTATGCATATATTTGTAAACAATCTAAATTCAGGCTAATAAAGTAATCAAATCTGTGTTGGAAAGATTGGAAAAGTGGTGTGCATAATAGTTTCATATCATATTTTAGGCGTCCATTGAGGTATGGTGGTGAACAAAGAAATGATGTAGCACTATCGTGTTCTTTGTTATTATGACCCAATCTTTTTATTAAAATCAATTACTGTTGTCATTGAAATATTCTGCAGTAACGATTATTTGTCCACAAGTTACGATTATCCTTTTTTGGAGTTACGATTATCTTCCTAAGATTTTTGATGGCTATTATTTTAGTAACGAGGCCATACATGATAGTTATAACACACACACACTCAACAACAAAACCGTACAGATCAACCTGGCGACTGAGTAATTTTTGAAAACAACACGTATACATGGAGAAATAAGCAGAAAACGATTTTACATATTTCTACCTCCGCCATATTGGGATCGTGATAACTGCAGTTACCACGATCAGTTTAACTCCAGTGATTATTTAAATCCTCGCAAAATTGTTTGAGACTGCACTGCCGTGTAACGTAGAAACTGTAGAAACTGAAATTTATTTTTAAAAAATGTTGAAGGAACATACTTTGCAGTCCTGTGTATTAATAAAAAAAATGTATGGAAACGCTGTTAATGAGACAGCAACCCAATGAAGAAAAAAATAATCAAAACACAATTGGAAAGTAACATCTCTTTTTTTTTGACGGCATCATGCAATCTTTAAAATCAGACAAGTGTCTATACAATTTGTCAAACCTTTAATCTTCCAAAGTGTATAAATGCTGTGAACAAAAAACAAGTTTAATAATTGACTATGTGTCTGTAATGGTTGACGGTTGATGTCTTTAATGATTCCTTATTAAACATATTGCAGTATAAAACATTCAATATTACCTTTGATGACTTATCCAAGGGATTCATTCTTCCTTCTTCAATTAGCCATTGTACGACATGCAGATGTCCCATATCAGCAGCTACGTGTAATACTGTTTCTCCATACTACAATAAAACAGCACTCATGTAAGTCTATGAATGTTATAAGATCATAATCTAGGCAAGTTCTGTAATATTAAAAAAACATATATATATAATATTTTCTCTAATTTACAGCATATCGTGTGTGATAAACTGAAATTTGTTTTGTTATAAATATAAAATAAATATCTATCACATGAATATCTGTTCAACACTGAATCAAATGCACTTTCACACATTTGTGTCATAAACTGGACAATGGTGTGCTAAAACAAAATAGATATCATAATAATCAGTGATCAAAACTGAATAAAATCACGGCTGTCATTCGGTATACCGACAAAAAAGATCGTGAAAGAATAAGCAATGGTGGTCAAGCATCACAATCAGATAGTGAAAGATTTAACTTCGGATTGTGAATGTAATTTATAACAATTCAACTACCAAATCTGTGAAAATAACAAGTTGCATTAAGTAAAACGTTGATAAAAAGAAAATTTACATAATTATAGATTATAGTGTATATATAAAAAAAAGAAAAGAAGAGGTGGTATGATTGCCTATGATACAAATATCCACGAGAGACCAAAAAGTAAAATCACAAAAATACTGAACTCCGAGGAAAATTCAATCGGAAAGTCCCTAATCACATGGCAAAATCAAATGACAAAACACATCAAACGAATGGACAACAACTGTCATATTCCTGACTTAGTACAGAGAATTTTTAAGCTATAGGTCACCGATCCGCTTTCGACAATGAGCAAAACATACACGGCATAGTAAGCTATGAAAGGCCCTGAAATGACAAACGTAAAACAATTCAAACGAGAAAACTGACGACCTGGTTTACACGAGAATATGGTGTATATTTTTGTTTCGTTGCACATTTTAAGCCGCCTCGATGGTTTCGTGTTCATCTCGAATGCAAGTGGTCGTTAGCTCGAACCCCGGCAGGTTCAAAACATAGACTTGAAATAAGTTCATTTGTCGCTTCTCCGCTAAACACATGGCATTAAAGAGCGAGAACAAAGGCTGGTTGGCTCGGAGTCAGAATGACATGTCCAGGTAGGGTGACATGTCTTATGTGGACTAACTTTGTGCACTAGCACGTTAATCCGACTCAGCTTGTCGGTCTTGTACAAAGCAGTGTAAATTTTCATACTATTTTCATACTACATTAACGTGTTTCCGTCCTGAATATGCATTTAAATTGCCGCTGGGCATTAAACAGTCATCCATCATTGTAGCACGATTGTCCTTCATTGCGTCAGTTGTTTTTCATTTTAAAAAGAGCAAGACGTACGTTTTAGGAATCTAGACTTTCGAGATATATCAAAGAGCTTTAAAATAACGTGTACTTATTACCGTAAGCAGTTTATAATATTTACATTTCAAAAAAATGAAATATATGCAATTAAAGTAAATTAAAGGTACTTGTATCATACTGTTACATGATAGAAATACATTGATTGTTTTATCAATCATAGATTGATCGGTTACTATTTAATGGCCAGCGGCAAATATTACACATCGATGACCACTTAGATATTCGACGGTTTCAATAGAAAATTAAAGTTAGATTAAGTTAAAATGCACTTCATTACAACAATTGTAACCTCTATATTAAACCTTTTAACATTTGTATTAAGGAAGGTAAAAAGTGACATTAATTTACATTGCTTTGTTCTGCTAAAATGACAGGGTGAGCGTATGTCGGCACTAGGTAATGTCGATCAGAATACATTGTTACGAATCGGAGCCGAGTTAACCATTGTTATAACTTTACTCATAAATACTGTATGTTTGTGGAAAAAAGTAAATATCAGTGATGTTCATAAATTAAAACATGCATGCTGCTATTTCCAAAACATGATTTGAATGTCGAGTTTAAGGAATGCTCTGATTTCACGAATTACATCTCTGTCTCTTGCTTTTGATTGATACACTCCTGCTGATCATGTAATAGTGTTCGCTGAACAGCCAAAGATCAGCTCCAAGCCTGTGCACTTCGGGACATATTATGGATAAAAATAAATAATTATTGATGAATTTCTGTATATGGGAAATGTAGAATAGTATGTCATGTCGTTATGTACCTATAATCCTTTAATTTATGAAATTGACATTTTAATTATTATGAAAATAATTATTCTTTTTCATTTACGCAACTCTATATGCTTGTTTTTGCCACTTTATTTGTGAACTTATTCATTTTGCTTTTTTTTTTTCATTCTATCAAATTTCCACATTCAATTCGCTGCTTGTCTACAAAAATAAATATGTCTTTTTTTCATTTTTGCAAACACCTTTGAAATTCTTGTAAGATTTGTCTTTATCAGCTCTCGGGTACATATAAAAAATGAATCCATTGTTGTGCATGTGTATCTGTGAAATAAGGAGTACCTACTTTATGAAAACTCTAGATGGTAGTAAACATTTGTGTTTTATCCTTAGTCTGTTTTTTTTTATAATTTACAGGTTTTTTTCTACACTGGTGAACATTTTGGTATCTAACTTTTCTTTCAGAGCTATTCCAGGTCTTTAAGCTTGACGTTCCCGGGATTTAAATGTCGATGTATAAAACTACCTTTTAAATCGCGAAAAACTGCAGTTCGCTCATATTTTGTATTTCTCATTTTAGATAGTGTGTATAAAATGAGGGGATGGGTGTACACGACACTTCTTTACAACTTAATGTTAACATTTTTATCACACAATAATAACGTTAGATTTTGTTTTTTAAATATCGAATACGCAAATAAATCTCTGTTATTTTTTCATCACTGAAGTATTTTTGTATTGACCGGTTTCTGGAGACATTTGATTGGCCATCAGTTAAAAGTAGGTGTGTCAATATGTCACTTTATCCAATCAGCATTGGACAAAGCTTGATGAATGCCATGATGCTTGGGCACTAATTATAAGATAGTAATACTATGTGAAATATTACAGTCTCAACAATTGATCGGAGGAGGGACAACATTATGCACACGACACGCATATTTGTCTTAGGCTATCTATGATCGATGTGTCATTAATTACGAGCAATTCGTGGTTTGAAAATCGAAATGTACTGCATGAGGTTATAAAAATAGCAATAATATAAGGTAGTCATATTTATATAATCTAAATATGCAAAGTCATGTAAACATAATTAACGAATTTGGTCATTGGGTATATTTACTGAGAATATACATAATTTTCTCTAATTTTTACACGATTTATCCTTTTCCTGACCTGTTAATTATTATTGTTTAATCAACGTGTGGTTCGTTTGATCTCAATTATTCACTGGTCAAAATTCGATTTTAAAAGACGTCAAATTTTCTTGCTTTCTTTTGAATTTCCTATTGTGACGTCATGAAAAAAGGCGACAATGCCTGATGACGTCACATAGAAAGAACACCTCTTTTTGCAGATCATTCGAAAGGAATGATTGAATTTGTCTACATATCGTTTAAAAAACATTAGAGAAACAGATTCCACCATCAAATCTTGTGCAATATGATATTTATCCACTCTCGACAGTTAAATTTTAAATATTTAAAACTTAACTGTCGAGAGTGGATAGATATCGTATCACACTCGATATGTACAATGGTGAATCTACATGTATATATCCCCAATGCGGATTGAATTGATTTTTCCCTAAGACTAACATTATGAAGTATTATGAATTGATATTTATTGAATTAGATACATATAATACACTTAATTATTTATCTCTGAATAAATAATTATTTATTGATTTTAATTAATTGTTTTTAGTAAGTACTGGTAAAAAAGATATTAAAGAAAAATCAGCGAAACTAAACATTTTCGTCATTTATCATTGCACCAGAGAGAAACATAGGCTGTCCAATACACAAATAATTTGCACAATACAAAGTTTTGCATAAAAAGCATTTTAAGTAGTAGCTTTTTAGATTGCACCATTTTCATCTTATCTTAAATATAACTGAAATACACAAAACAAGGGGTTGATGCTACTTACTAATAACGTGTATGACTAATAGACAAAGGAAATGTCTTTTAAAATTGTTCGTTTTCAGCGACTCATTATGCAGCAATGGATTGAGACCGAAGGAGACCTTTCAGATTTTATAATGCATGCAGACTATTCTTTTAATGATGTTAATTTCAATGTTTGTCACTGACGATCTTTCGTAAGATTTACAAAGTTATGTTGGCCTTGTACAATGTATTATTAAAGAGATCGAATAAAAGTTCCTGCCGTTACAGAACAGCTTTTTATTATATTACAATTTCCCCATAACATTTGATGTGAAAGTCATAATCGATTGTCAGTACATATTTTATATGAAAACTTGCTAGTACATTCGATTTATAATAAAATAATCAAGAATGCAAAACCCTTGAAAACATTACTTATGAGGTAGATCTAAAAAAAAATAAAACCAAATGCTCCATTATCAATATATATAGACCCCAAAAATTGAGTGATCAGACAGTCAGTGAGATTATTACTACAACTCTCGATGAATGTATTACATACACATTATAAAGTTATTTAGTAGTCGGTGACATTAACTACGATATCTTTTGTCAATCCAACGGAAACAACTTACAGGATATTATAGAATTGAGAATGGAAATATAAATAGATATAAGAAGATGTGGTATGAGTGCCAATGAGACCACTCTCCACCCAATTCACAATTTGTAAAAGTAAACCATTATAGGTCAAAGTACGGCCTTCAACACGGAGCCTTGGGTCACACCGAACAGCAAGCTGGATTCGTAATATTTGGGGTTTTTTTTCCGCTGCGAGTGAATTGTAACGCACAATCCTGTTCGCATTTATTTTGATGAGACAAGAAGATTTCATTAGCTCTGTGAATGCTTTGAATACAAGTACCCAATCAGCAAGCATTTTATCGATTAAACTTCTAAGTCATTCCAATTATCATCCCTGTCAAGTTAGCTCGCAACTGTTGTCTGATTTTAGAAGTGTACAAAAATATGAGACTCTAAAGAGCCTGTTTCGTTCACCTTGGTCT